AAAAAAAAAAAAATGTCTAAACCTCTCGGCTGCACAGGTCACAGGGTGCTATGAGACAAGACCAGAGAGTCAGCCTTGGAGAAAACATGTCTCTTCTGAGAGCAGAGCACCATGAGACTCGTTTTCAGAATTGTTTCTCTTTTCCTTTTTTTTTTTTTGAGTTGGAATCTCACTCTGTCACCCAGGCTGGAGGGCAGTGGCACGCTTCCAGCCACCACAGCCTCGACCAGCTGGGTTCCGGCGATCTTTCCGCCTCAGCCTTCCAAGTAGCTGGAACTACAAGTGCGTGCTACCATGCCCGGCTAATTTTTTTTTTTATTGTAGAGACGAGGTCTCACCAAGTTGCCCAGGTGGGTCTCCAACCCACAGACTCAGGCAATCCACTCACCTCAGCCTCCCCAAAGTGCTGGGATTACAGGCTGAGCCACCGAGCCCAGCTAGAATGGTTTTTCTAGAACTGCATTTGTACTCAAAGTACTTCTACCAGGTTGCCAGTTTCATTAGATCAAAAGATTACAGTTACCTCATTTTATCAAAATAAGTATTGAAAAAATAAGATGCACAAGTACCAATAACTGCCTCAAAGATATATACCTGTTGTATGTTTAGTATCACTAGTTTTGTAAAGCTTGCTAGTAAAAATCCAGTTATGCTCTTTAATAAACACGTATAATTCTCTTGTTTAGTGGAACCAGAATTCTGCCTTGTGTATGAGAGCCATCTCTTTTCTTTCTGAGTATTTAGTCTTAACAGATCTAAGCCAGTGATGGGTGCTATTCTTAAGATTTATTTTTTTCTCTCACTAGAAAGGATTAACCAAACAGATTAATAGGGCACATATTTAACTTCCTTAAGCAAACATTATAAATACTTTTCACATATTGGCAATGAGTATGTTCCTGGCTGGGTGCAGTCACTCACACCTATAATCCCAGCACTTTGGGAGCCCGAGGTGGGAGGATTGCTTGTCCCCGAGAATTCAAGACCAGCCTGGGCAGCATAGCAGGACCTTATCTCTACAAAAAATCATCTGGGCGAGGTGGTTGCACGCCTATAGTCCCAGCTACTCAGGAGGCTGAGGAGGGAGGATGGCTCGAGTCCGAGAAGTCAAGGCTGCAGTGAGTCATGGTTGTGCCTGAGTGACAGAGTGTGAGACCACAACTCAAAAAAAAAGATGTTCCTAAGTTCACATAATAGTTCTTTAGTATAATGACTCAATCCATTAAATACCAGGCTATAAAATACTTTACTTTTTCGAATACCATTTTAAAAAATATTCTGTTATTCACATTCACATTGATGGGTGCTATTCTTAAGATTTATCTTTTTCTCTCACTAGAAAGGATTAACCAAACATTAATAGGGCACATGTGATAGACATATTTAACTTCCTTAAGCAAACATTGTAAATACTTTTCACATATTGGCAATGAGTATGTTCCCGGCTGGGAGCAGTCGCTCATGCCTGTAATCCCAGCCCTTTGGGAGGTCGAGTTGAGAGGATTGCTTGACCCCAAGAATTCAAGACCTCATACTGGGCCTCTTCCACGAATTTTCCAAATTAGAGGAAAACTTCTCAAACACATACTGAGGATACACTGAACTTCTTGCTGTGATCCCTGCCTGGTCTGGGAACCCTGATTTTTAGAATCAGGATCATAATGCAGATAGTGGGTGCCCCCTCTCTGCAGTCAGAGTTATGTCATGAAACCATCTTGCATTCCTGCAGTACGGAATTTACAAAGTGCTGCCTCCTGATATCTTTCATTCTTGAGCCATCTGGTAACTTGGAACTGTTCTACTTTTCACCTGCCTGTTTTATACAATTGCATTGGCCTGTTATTTATCAGAGATAAAGGATATTGTTTCACTCCACAGTATTCTGTTCTTCTTCTGTTATATGTTTAAATGTATGCTTCTTGTCAGTTTTCCAGTTTCACAATGATCTGTATGTACTTGTACTTATATTAATAAAGTGACAGTGAACATCAGACATCATCTCTGTCTAACTCATATTTACAGAGGTCAGTTTCCCAAGGACTGATGGTTATGAGGGGAAGAAGTGCTTATATTTTCCCTTCCGTTCTGTGATGTTCATCCTGTTTTCTCTTTTGTTTGTTTTTATGTTCCGTTGTCCCATTTCAGGAGCAATTATGTTTGCCTCTCCACATTTTAGAAGAGAAAGGTTTGAGCCAGGTGGCAGTGACCGTCCAGGCTCTCCTGGAACTTGCCCCACCCAAGCAGCAGCAGCACCAGTCATCTGCTGTTTGAGGACTCCTGGGAACGTGGGCATTGGCCTGGCCAGACAAGGAACAGGACCACATGACTGCTGCTGCCAGCCATCTGCTTCAACAAAGCTCTTACGTGTTCTTCCAAGAGACTTTCCATGATTCCTAACAGGAATATTTTGCTTCATTTCTCCATTTTAGGGGAGGTCATATCCATTTCCATTGAATTTTTGTATGAAGACAGGGTCGATTGCCTCAAGTGAAACTTCTCTCATTACTGAGAAGGCAGCAGCGAAGCCTGAGCTGGTTGTGCTTTCCTGGAGAACAGGCTCCTCCACAACTGACCGCAGCTTCTTAGACGCTTGGCTCTCTTGAAGCCGCACATATGCTGTTGTTTTGAACCTGTTCTTCAGACATCAGGAGCCCACTGGTTTCTAAACTTAGTTTATTAGAATCTTCTGGAGCAGTTGTTAAAATATAGATTCACATTCAGTAGGTCTGTGGTGAGGCTTGGGAATCTGCATTTTCAACAAACATTTCACATATTTTTCATGCAGTGGAGACCACTGTCCCAGGCTAGATTTTTGTATGTCTTGGTGGGGGTAATGCCCCCACTGCATTTTTCAGCCACATTTAAAATCAGAAGCTATACTATGATGACTTGGACTATTCTGCCAAAGGCAAAGTAAAAATAATATAGAAGGCCTGGATTTTGCATCGTAAAGCAGTGTGACTGATACTGTTGTGTTTCAGGCCAGTGTTCTAGGCCTTCTTCCAATTCCAGCCCACCCCACGGTGTCTTTTTGTAGAGGGTGGTTCTGTGTCATGCTGTTATCCAACGTAAGCAAGCACACTGCACGCAGGCTGCGGGTCCTTAGCTGGCAATGGGCTGCTCTGCATCAACTGCTTGGATTCCATGGGGCCATCCTTGCAGCCCTCACGCTGCTCCTAGACGTCTGTGCCTGCAGGCACATTCCTGTCACAACTACCCAACGCAGGGAGAGCAAAGCAAAGGGAGTGAAGGAAAGGCCAAGCTGCTTAGATTCCTTTCAGGAAACTGCCAGCATCTGTGGCTGAATTAAAGTACTTCCAGGCAGCACAGCTGGCTCCAGCCCTGGGCCCTCACACACGTGGGTGGAGCCACAGGGCCACTGCTCACACTACGCAAAGGGCAGGAGTCTGCTCACGCGTAAACCACATGGATTTTTCTTCCCTGAATTTTGAACCCTTTTAGTTGTCAATGGTAGCTTTTGGTGTTCACTGCCTTTGTAAACCAAGTAAATAAAGTAAGTGAAGATACTAGTTATCTAGGGTTTCTTTTTGAATAGTTGTTAACTGTTGTGGATTTTCTTTACCAATGCATGCATTTGAGCATAATGTTATCCCCCTTTCTATCGTGTAAATGTAGCATCTAATAGTAGCTTTGGATAAGATCATGTTGAGTATCTGGTCAAAGCAATGTTTGCTTCCTTGTTCTTACAGAGAAATAAGTTAATCTGAACATTACCATTTTGTCCCAGTTTAAAATTATATAACATAAAACACAAGTGCTCAAAGCCCACTCGCACAGAACCAAAGCTAAATGTCTTATAAGAACTTAGAGCCAGACCCCTTTATATTTACATTTCCAAACAGACCTACCAACCAGATACTTGTTTGGAACTTAACTGTGTGCACTTTTAGACTATAGGCATTTTTCCCTTCGGTCAACATTAAACCTCCAAGCAGTACACCACCAGAAATGGAACTCAGCAAAGGACAGGACTGTTTTTAACATTATGCAAGGAAGAATTCCAGAAGACGTATAATGCAATACTTGCAACACATGCAACTAATTTTCCCAAAGGAATAAATGGAAATTCAAAATTTTAATTTTGCACATAACAAAATCTTATTAGTGTATTTTAATCAAACTAATTCAAATTTGTATTTGTATTGTTAGAAAAAATTATGTATACAGAGAGTGCCAAAAAAAGTATACACATGTTAAGAAGGGAAAAACAGCATTAAAATTGTAATACTCACTGTATACCGATAACAAAAGATGAATACAAGTCATGTTTAACTTCTGCACTTACAAGAGGTGCTGAAAATGGTTACCATCAGCATCCGTACCTTTCTGATTATGGCAAACTAGAAGTCATACACAGGTAACATCTCTTAAAATGTGTATAAATTTTTTGCTTCTCCCTCCAGTAGTTTTGGCTGATAATTGAAGGAAAAACGTTAGATACATTGAATTTTTTTTTTTTTTGTATCAAGATGGAAAAAACAAATCATGATGCTTTTGTTGAAGAATTTTTGTATTCAGTGTTTATCATATACCTTTTTTTTTTTTTTTAACTGGCAGGGACAATTAGGCCAGGCAAGGTGGCCCATGCCTGTAATCCCAGCACTTTGGGAGGCTGAGGCAGGAGGATCGCATGAGCCCAGGAGTGTGAGACTAGCCTGAACAACATAGCAAGACCTTGTCTCTATTTTTAAAGTAATAATAATTCACTTTAACATTAAGTTTTGCTAGACTCCAGTGTAAGATGAAGATGACCTTGTCACAGTTCCCCTTGGCCTTCCCAGCACTGAAAACATGAACAGGCTGAGAGTCCACCCAGCAAGAGCCCCTGCCACCTACAGATTTTGTGTCATCAGTTTCCAGGTTTTCAAACTCACTCCAACCCAATTTTCTCTTGTAATAGCCAGGTTGGAAAGAGCTCATGGGAGAAGAGGCCTTTGTATTTGACTAGAACACAGGAGTAGGAAAGTGCTCAACAGCAGGTCACTTTCCTATAGCTTTTAAATACAGCCTCACAGCTAATCAAGTAGTTATGATTTCTTTTACTTTCAACAGCTCAGCAGTGGCTAATGATGTGTGACAATACTGGTGTGTTTTTTAAAACTAAACCCTTAAATAGTGATAGATATGAAGGAAAACATGGATATTTAGAATAAAGTCTTTTTATATATATACATTGCAGTGAGAGTTTACAGCATATTTTATTTCTGAAATTGTTGTAAACATGTAATTAGTAAAAGATTTTGTAAACACTGTCATATATTTGTATGTCTGTAAATATATCGCATAAGTTCTAAGTATAAATATGTCAATATCATGTATGTTATTTTAAATTGCTTGTATGCCACCTTACACATTGATATTAAAATAAAAGCCAGCACTTCAGTAGCATTGGAATAAAGGCTGATTTGAAAATGTTCATACCTAAAGTATGGGGTCTCTTGGCAAAGATGAATCAAAGGAAAGGGTATCTAATTCCTGGAAGGAGCATCAGGAGAGTCTAGGTCTTTGTAATAGGCCTTTGAGATCAAATTTACTTTCTTAAGGAAGTACAGATATCAAGATTGCCGTGTATTTGGGATTAGGCAGATGGCTTAATTCATGAATCATATGACACATTAGGACAGCTTTTCTCTCAGAAATTATCAGCTGTTGCCAGGTACAGTGGCTCACACCTATAATCCCAGCACTTTGGGAGGCAGAGGCAAGAGGATTGCCTGAGCCCATGGGTTTGACACCATCCTGAGCTACTTGGTAAGACCTTGTTTCTACAATAAATCAAGAAAGTTAGCCGAGCATGGTAGCGCGCCTCTGTAGTTCCGGCTACTTGGGCCATGCTATAGGAGAAACTTCAGCATCCCAAAACCTGTTTTGATTAATCAAGACAAGAATGACCTGGTGGGCTCCTTTTTTCAGAGAAGGGAGAATGACAGCTTCACCGTATGCCAGCCACATACTGAGGGAGAACCAAAAATAACCAGAATTAATTTATTAAAAATTACGGGTTGTTGTTTTTTTGAGTTGGAGTCTGTTGCCCAGGCTGGAGTGCAGTGCACACTCACAACCACCACAACCTGGACCTGTTAGGCTCAGGCAATCCTTCCTCCTCAGCCTTCCAAGTAGCTGGAACTATAGGCACGTGCTACCATGCCCGGCTAATTTTTTTTTTTAATGTATTTATTGTAGAGATGAGGTCTCACCAAGTTGCCAAGGCTGGTCTCAAACCCCTGAGCTCAGGCAATCCTCTCACCTCGGCCTCCCAAAGTGCTGGGATTACAGGCTTGAGCCACCACCATGTTAAACTTCAGTCACCTTCAAAGTACTCTCCATTTGACACAATACATCTATCGAGATGCTTTTCCACTGCCCAAAACGGTTTTTGAACTCGTCAATTTGGATGCCTTTTAGTGCTTCTGTTTTTTGTTTCACCTCTTCCACATCAACAAAACATTTCCCTTTGAGGACTTTTTTCATCCTGGGAAACAAAATAATCGCTCAGGGCAAGATCAGGTAAATAGAGAGGGTGGGACGTGGGGATCATGCTGTTTTTGGTCAAAAACTGCTAAACACTCAGTGAAGGTGTGGGCAGGTACACTCAAATCGCCCATCATGAAGTGGGCAAACACACTGAAAGAATCTCAAAAACAACTCACTGAAGCCGAATGCAGCCTCTCACAACAACACTGGCTGGTACACTGATGCCAATGGGTTTCTAGAACATTTACCTAGTGGGAGAAACCTGTACTACAGGGGGCCCGCCCTCCAAAAGTAAATTCCAGTTGTTTTGGGAGGTGCCTTTGTATCTCTTTTGGTCTCAACACCCCTTAGGGCAGGAACTGTTGAGTAAGCAAAACAGGAACAGAGCTTAGTGCCTCACTTATCAGAAATATCTCTGAACTAGCCTTCCAGAGAAGCTGTGTCCCATGTTTATCATGAATGAAGTTCATACCTTGACATCCCATTTCTATCTTGTATTTCTCATTTATGTCCTTACCTATTTCCCAGAAGAGTCGTTGAAGCAGCTCATGATAGGACATGTATTCTATGCCACCCTCCAATACAAACACTAAAGTGATCAAAAAAACAGGAAAGAACCAACATTTATTAAAACTTTGCTGTGGGTAGATTATGCGGGACAGGTAATAAACATCTTACAATTCCTACTGAACACTTTTGCTCATACGTTTTTTCACTGTAGACAAATTGGATAAAGCCGGAATCAGAGACATGACAGGAATGACTGAAGTTATAAAATGCATTGCCACTAAGCTCACAAACTTTTTTCTAGTGGGAAAATGAGGAATCTTCCAGAGGCTACCAGAAACACTCCTTCCCAGCCTCATACGCAATCTGAGGACGCACTAGATCGCAGGTACAACCAACCTGTCGATGTGTGGTCTGTGATGTCTGAGCTGCTTCCTGCTCTATCCAAGGCCTTCTCCCACCTCCAGCTGCCAGAGGAAAAGGCAGCTGGTCACTGGTCACTTCTTGCCTTTACGCTTATCCTTGTCTTTGCCTTTTGAATCCTTGCTGTCGTCTGTGTCCTTAGGGAGTCTGAAACCACCAATTTCCTTCCGTACCATAGTGCCTCGCCACCAGGCTTGGAGCTGGAAGAGAAAGGAGTGGTGAGTGCAGCTTCTGGGGGCCCCCACCCCGACAGGCTGCAGGGATGGTCGGAGAGAGGAGCCTCTGGCTGAAGAGTGTTCTCTCTCTAGAACCCGGGAGCAGCCAGCCATGTGGTCACTGTAGTGATGCCCCCTGCTGGGCAGGACCCAGAGCTTAAGCCATGGCCTCAGCAAAGAAGGTCTCAAGGAGTAAAAATAAAGCAAAAGAATCTGATTCAGCCCATTTTTCCTTCACACTTGGAGACTGGACTTCCTTGTTCTGCTTCCTTTAAAGAATGCGAGGCTCCACTACCTAACTACATTGCATACAAAAGGAATGTTATTACCTGGGCCAGGGGCAAAAGCAAGCACTTGGTCTAAAGTAGGTCAATAAGTCTAGATGACTTCAGTGGGCTTCCTGGTGCACTTCATATCTGTAGTAATGATTAGAGGATCAATTCTATTTTTTTTTTTTTTCTTTGAGTTGGAGTCTCACTCTGTCACCCAAGCTGGAGTACAGTGGCATGCTCACAGCCACCGTGGCCTCAACCTGCTGGGCTCAGGTGATCCTTCTGCCTCAGCCTTCCAAGTAGCTGGAACTACAGGCACGCATCACCACACCCAGCTAATTTTTTAGCTTATTGTAGAGATGAGATCTCACCAAGTTGCCCAGGCTAGTCTTGAGCCCTGGACTCAGGCAATCCTCTGGCTCCCAAAATGCTGGGATTACAGGTTTGAGCCACCGCACCCTGCCAATTTTATTACTTTCAAAAACAATTTAGATAGCTTCCTTGACTATCTTACTTGTTAGATAACTTCTCAATACAGTCTAGGTTACTTTAAAAGCAGACTAAGCCCTAAAGACTAGAAGCAAATCCACCCATGAAAAGAAAAATGGTCTTCAATTAGTTGTTACATTTTTGCTCTCAATCCAGGAGTCCTGACAAATGGAAAATACCGTAAAAATTGATAGATACTTACTACTCATACAGCACCCTCCTGGCGGAAAACTTAAGTTTGGGTTTGGATACCTGGTCATGAATGTTTTGTTTTTTGTTTTTTTGAGTTGGAGTCTCACTGTGTCGCCCAGGCTGGAGTGCAGTGGCACAATCCTGGCCATCGCAGCCTCGACCTGTTGGGCTCAGTTGAACCTTTCGCCTCAGCCTTCCAAGTAGCCGGAACCACAAGCACACGCCACCACGCCCCGCTAATTTTTTGATTTATTGTAGAGACAAGGTCTTGCCAAGTTGCCCAGGCTGCTCTAAACCTGTGGGCTCAGGCAATCCTCTCACCTCGGCCTCCCAAAGTGCTGGGATTATAGGTGTGAACCACCGTGCCCCGCCCATGGTCCTGAATGTAACATAAGACTTACAGTTTTATTTATTTTTTTTTTATTTTTTTGAGTTGGAATCTCACTCTGTGGCCCAGACTGGAGTGCAGTGGCCACTCCTGGCCACCACAGCCTCGACCTGCTGGGCTCTGGCGATCCTTCCGCCTCAGCCTTCCGAGTAGCTGGAATTACAGGCGCGTGCTACCATACCCGGCTCATTTTTTGATTTATTGTAGAGATGAGGTCTCGCCAAGTTGCCCAGGCGGGTCTCGAACCCGCGGGCTCAGGCAATCCACTCACCTCAGCCTCCCAAGGCGCGGGATTACAGGCTGAGCCACCGAGCCCGGCTAGACTTACAGTTTTAATGCACCCGCTAACATACAACTCAACTACAGCCTGCCCACAAGGACTCAGCATTCAGAGAGAAGGATGCTCCTCCAGAGAGCAGTTTTAGTCTAGCTGGTATTATTATTATTTTTTAATTTTTTAAATTTTTTGAGTTGGAGTCTCTGTCACCCAGGCTGGAGTGCAGTAGCATGCTCACGGCCATCGCAGCCTAGACCTGCTGGGTTTAGGCGATCCTTCTGACTCAGCCTTCCAAGTAACTGGAACTACAGACGCATGCCACGATGCCCGGCTAGTTTTTGTGATTTATTGTAGAGACGAGTTCTCACCAAGTTGTCTAGGCTGGTCTCGAATCCCCAGGCTCAGGCAATCCTCTCATCTCGGCCTCCCAAAGTGCTGGGATTACAGGCTGAGCCACCTCGCCCAGCCATTGTGTTTTGCATTACAGTTTTTGCTCAAAAATGTTTCACCTGATCTGTAACCTGCCAGTTTCATCATTACTGACATATACAAGTTCATACAAAACTAAAATATCTCAAATTTTTTCTAACCTGCTGCATACCCCCTAACCCAAACAGTTCATATCAGAACCCAGCAGATTGGGCTGATTTATAAACAGAATTTTAAGAAGCAGTAGGATATTAAAAAGAATAATTCTGTCAAGAGCTGGTTTGGGTTAGAAATAGTATTCTTATGTTTAACCTCTGTACCTAGGTTTTGCTTCCACTGCTAACCACCTCTTTTCCCCCAGATTAAGAGCTGGGACAATGGGTGCAGTGGCTCACGCCTATAATCCGAGCACTCTGGGAGGCCAAGGTGGGAGGATTGCTTGAGCCCATAAGTTTGAGACCAGCCTGGGCAACATAGTGAGACCTTGTCTCTACAAAAACCAAAAAAAATTAGCTGGGTGTTGACACATTCCCATAGTCCCAACTATTCCGGAGACTGAGGTGAAAGGATTGCCTGAGCCCAGGAGGTCAAGGCTGCGGTGAACCGTGATCATGACTGTACTCCAGCTTGGGTGACAGAGTATGGACCTGACTCAAAACAAAAGAGCTGGGGTAATGTCCTTTTCCATGATAACTGTCTCCCTGCGCCGTGGGCTGAGTTGGCAAATTCTGGCAATAACAAAAGGCCACGTTTCCTCACAGGTCTCCTGTTTCGTCGTGAAGTAAGCTGTGTTTGGTGATGAATGGGAATGCTCTTCTTTCCTAAGTGTGAGGCCGGCTTCTGCACTGCCGGGCCCCACAGTGCCGATTAGGGTGCTTTACCTTTATGATGCTCTTCAACTCCAAGAGATCCTGTTCTATCTTCTTCCTGTTCCTCTCCTTCTCTACGCGATCTTCAATGATGACCTGCTCAAACTCCCTTATCTGTGGAAGGACACATGAATCATCTGTTACTGTCCTCTCTTGGCTGAGTTGGGGCCCATCCAGCCCAGCACTTCTAATACAAAATTGTAAAAGAAACCATGCTAAATCTGAAGATAAAGAAAAAACTTCATGGATTCCTAGATTGTAAATATTCCCATGTTAGCTTTATACTTTTTCCCCAAATTTTTCAGTTTTAATCATTCAAATTTAAGTTTTATAATCTTTCATACAAATGAAATACTAATTAACTCAGTGTGTGATTAATGACCTTAAAATAATGTAGCTTTTCTTAACTTTGGTAAGATATACATATACAAATAGCAGCTGCCTATTTCGTTTTTGAGCTAGAGTCTCACTCTGCCGCCCAGGTTAGAGTGCAGTGGCACGCTCACGGCCACCACAGCCTTGACCTGCTGGGATCAGGCACTCCTTTCGCCTCAGCCTTCCAAGTGGCACGTGCCACCACACCTGGCTGTTTTTTGTTTTTCGGCTTTTTGGTTGGTTTTTTTTTTTAGAGATGAGGTCTTGCCATGTTGCTTAGGCTGGTCTCGAACCCCTGAGCTCAGGCAATCCTCTCGCCTCCACTTCCCAAAGTGCTGGGATTATAGGCGTGAACCACTGCTTCCAGCAATTTGGCAGTTTTTTATTTTTATTTTTTGAGTTGCAGTCTCACTGTGTTGCCCAGGCTGGAGTGCAGTGGTACACTCATGGCCACCACAGCCTCAAACTGCTGGGCTCAAGTTATCCTTCCACCTCAGCCTTCCACGTAGCTGGAACTTTAGACGCCCACCACCATGCCTGGCTAATTTTTTTATTGTATTGTAGAGACGAGGTCTCCCCATGTTGCCCAGACTGGTCTCGAACTCGTGGGCTCAGGCAATTCACTCACCACGGCCTACCAAAGTTCTGGGATTACAGGCGTGAGCCACCATGCCTGGCGCAGCTGCCTTTTTTTTTGAGTTGGAGTCTCACTCTGTTGCCCAGGCTAGAGTACAGTGGCACACTCATGGCCACCCCAGCGTCGACCTGCTGGGCCCTGGTGATCCTTCCGCATCAGCCTTCCAAGTAGCCAGAATGACAGGCATGTGCTACTGCGCCCGGCTAATTTTTGTTTTACTGTAGAGACGAGGGCTTGCCAAGTTGCCCGGGCTGGTCTCGAACCTGGGGGCTCAGGCAACCCACTAGCCTTGGCCTCCCAAAGTGCTGGGATTACAGGCTGAGCCACCGAGCCTGGGTGCAGCTGCCTTTTTAAAGAGAAATCTAGAAAGTTCTACACTTATTCCATGATGAAACCATAACTAGAGAGGAGTGGTGGCTCATGCCTGTAATCCCAGCACTTTGGGAGGCTGAGGTAGGAGGATTGCTTAAGGCTAGGAATTTGAGACCAGCCTGAGCAACATAACATAGTCTCTTAAAAGAAAAAAAAATTGGTCCGGCGCAGTGGCTCATGTCTGTAATCTCAGCACTTTGGGAGGCAGAGGAGAGAGGACTGCCTGAGCCCATGGTTTGAGACAAGCCTGGGCACCTTGGTGAGACCTCATCTCTACAATAAATCAAAAAATTAGCCGGGTGTGGTGGCACAAACCTGTGGTTCCCGCTACTTGGAAGGCTGAGGTGGAGGGATCACCTGAGCCCAGCAGGTCGAGGCTGCAGTGGCCATGAGCATAACACTGCATTGCAGCCTGGGTGACAGAGTGACACTCCTACTCAAAAAAATGATAATATTAATCAGAAGCTTTCTAGAAATCGTCATTTACCCAGCCTGGACAACATAGTGAAACCTCGTCTCTACAAAAAAATCAAAAATATTAGCCAGGCATGGTGGCACACACCTGTAGTCCCAGCTACTCAAGAGGCTGAGGCAAGAGGTTGTGGCTGCAGTGAGCCATGATTGTGACACTGCCTTACAGCCTGGGCAACAGAGTGAGACTCCAAATCAAAAAGAAAAGGAACATAAAAAGAAATAATTATTTACAAATTGTCTTCTGAGACCATATAGTGGGAATGATGATAACAGTTTCTATCTCAAGGGGTTGCAAAGGTTAGAATACTAGAAAAGTGCCTGGGACAGAGGAAGCCCTATGTAAGTGTTAGCTGCTGCTATGGTCCGTGTCATCATTGACACTGTCGTTGTCATCGAAAAAGAATCCCAGCATTTACAGGCACACTTCCACTTTTGACCAAAAATAGCACTCCCCGGCTCCTGTGGAGCTTGGCCACCACCCACCCTCTGTGGACGCCCTTAGCACTTCCTCACCATCTTCGCAAGGTCTTGGAGGTGTGTTAAGTCACTGGCCTTTGCAGCTTTGAGAGCATTTAGTTCATTCTGTTTCATTTCTGTGTCCTTATCATATTTCTCCATCCAGAACTCTAGCTTCTCCTCAAGTTTCTGTTTGGAAAGAACATCAAGACATGGCCTTCACCAACCACAAAACAGTGTAGACTGTATGATTCCATTTATGTAAGTTCCAAGAAAAAGTAAAACTTTTCTACAGTGATAGAAGCCAGAACAGTGGTGACTTATCAGGGTGGAGGGCTGGAGGACCGACGGGAAGTGGGACAGGAGGGAGGCCTCTGGGATGCTGTAACTGTTCTCTACATCTTTATCTGAGTGGTGGTTCCTGGCTGTATATGCATAAACATTCATCAAACTGTACACTCAATATGTATGCATTTTACCGTATGTTACTCAATTTATTTTATTTTTTATTTTTTTTATTTTTTTTTGAGTTGGAGTCTCACTCTGTCGCTCAGGCTGGAGTGCAGTGGCCGCTCCCGGCCACCGCAGCCTCGACCTGCTGGGCTCCGGCGATCCTTCCGCCTCAGCCTTCCAAGTAGCTGGAACTACATGTGCGCGCTACCATGCCCGGCTAATTTTTGATTTATTGTAGAGATGAGGTCTCACCTCCAACCCACGGGCTCAGGCAATCCACTCACCTCAGCCTCCCAAGGCGCGGGATTACAGGCTGAGCCACCGAGCCCGACTGTT